CTAGCTAGCTAGCTAGCTAGCTAGCTAGCTAGGTAGATGGCTGGTTAGCTGGTTAGCCTTGCAGCCACCTGTAGCCANGCTAGCTAGCTAGCTAGCTAGCTAGGTAGATGGCTGGTTAGCTGGTTAGCCTTGCAGCCACCTGTAGCCAGCCACCCAGGCAGTCGGGCAGCCGGGCACACGGCTGACCAGGTGCCTGAATAGCTAGCTAGCTAGCCATCTAGCTAGCTAGCTATCTAGCTAGCTAGCTATCTATATAGCTAGCTAGCTAGCTAGCCAGGCAGTCGGCTTGCCGGCTAGCTGCGAGTTATCTTCAGTTGTTAAATTGTTGTCTGCGTCTCTGCGCATGTACACACCCGGCTGTCTGTTCGGCTAGCTAGCTAGCTAGCTAGGTAATTAAGCAGCTAGCCATCTAGCTAGCTAGCTAGCTAGCCAGCTAGCTAGGTAATTATGCAGCTAGCCATCTAGCTAGCTAGCTAGCTAGCTGGCCCCGCATGTATCAAGCCCTTTTTTTTCAGCTAGCCAGCTAGCTAAGCTGGCGTCCCCCTAGTTAGGAGTTATATAGAGAACGTCCACTGTACCTATTGAGAGACACACCACCAAACCCTAAACCCTAAACCCTAGTTGTGTTGCTGCTGCTTTACTCTGCTGCTGCGGCTGCTGCTGCAGTGCCTGTCTCTGTCTCTGTCTAAGGGGCCGTTGCCTTGCAGCAGCTGCTGCAGCAGGGAGTGCTGCTGCAGCCGATGAGCTGTCTCTGTCTCCTCTCTATCTCTTTCTCCTTTCTCTATATCTGTCTCCTCTCTATGTTTGTCTCTCTCTGTCTCCCCCCTGTCTCTTATCTGTGTGTTTGTTTACTCTTTGCGGCAGCAACATATATATATATATATATATATATATATATATATATATATATATATATATATATATATATATATATATATACAAAAATATAAAAAATAAATAATAAAAAAGTAGTAACTATATGTTCACTAGCTCTACAATGAACTTAATCGAACAGTATTTATAAAATGGCTGTGCTGCTGCTGCTGCTGCAGTAACAGATCGGCGGTGTCCCTGTGCAGCTCAGCATACACCCCAGCCAGTATATGATTTTTGTTTTATTAATTTCATTTATATTATTTAATTTAATTTATTTAAAAAAATATAATTTATTATTTATATTATTTTGTGTGAAGCAAAGAGCCAGCATGGCCTGGGGCGCCGCACCGCAATGACGATGGTCACGCGCGCTGCTGCTGCTGCTGCCGCTGTTGCTGCTGCTGCTGCTGTTGCTGCTGCTGCTGCATGCTGAAGCAAAATAAATTTAGTGTGAAATAAAAGAAAAAATAATTAAATATATTTAAAAAGAACAGAAGGTAGATGCACATCTCTCCTCAACTATCGAGACAGCAGCAGCAGCAGCAGCAGCAGCGTGTTTGAGGCATGCAAATACTGAAAAACTGTAATATTCAGCGCTTTAGGGTTTTTATTTGTTCTTTATCTCTCTGCATCTCTGTCTAACAGCAGCAGCAGCAGCAGCAGCAGCAGCAGCAGCAGCAGCAGCAGCAGCAGCTGACGACGGCCCGGCGGGCCAGCTGGGAGATCGAGACCTTCTTTGTTGCTGTTTGTTTCTTCTTTTACTTCTCCCCTTTAAGCATATTGATAAAAGCTTTAGTAATTCTTTGCTGCTGCTGCTGCTGCTGCTATTGCTGCTGCTGCTGCTGCTGCTGCTGCTGTGAGTGCAGCTGACAGTGCTGCTGCTGCTGCGGCCCGCGCTGTGCTTCAATCCTCGGGATTCCTTGGCGCTGCAGCAGAGGGGCAGCAGCAGCAGCAGCAGCAGCAGCAGCAGCAACGCTGCATGCCCTCTCCTGTCTTTTGTCTCTCCTCTGCTTCTCTCGTCTGAG